TAGTTTTTATGAGACTTGTTTTTGCATTACAAGTTATATATACATATATATATGTGTGTGTGTGTGTGTGTGTGTGTGTGTGTGTGTGTGTGTATCCTCTGTATGAAAATTTGAGTTCTATAAAATATTTCTCATTGTTCCTTTGTTAAGTATATTCCCAATCTCTCAGAGTTTAAACTTGAACCTTTTACTTGATCCTAATTTCTATATCATTGTAGATTTCCTGTCTTTTATCTCTGAGAGCACTTGGGATTTTTTTGAACTTCAGAAATTCCAGGACACTCTACTTGCTTTTTTGAAAGAGGGTTTCTCTGTGTAGTACTGGCTGTCTTGAAACTCACTCTGTAGACCAGGCTGGCCTCAAACTCACAAATCTGCCTGCCTCTGCCTCCCCTCCAAGGTGTGTGGATTAAACCACTGTGTGGCTGTTTGTTTGTGTGTTTGTTTTAATTTCAGCATTGTTTCCCTTGAGTAGTTCTGAAATACTAACTACAGCATGATAAACTCAGCTAGAGATCTTCTGGAGAGGATTTGTGATCACTGTAATGGATTAGGAATGACAACTTTTTGGCTACCTGCTGTACTTTTGGGTTGTCAGATTAGCTTAGGACTTCGAGGTTAGAGGAAGAGGATTATTTTGAGTGATGAATAAATCTATTTTTTTTTTTTTTTACAAAGAGCCTCTCTATGTAGTCCTGGCTGGCCTAGAACTAAGTATTTGGACCAGGCTAGCCTTAAACTTAACAGCAATCTGCCTGCCTCTGCCCTAAGTACTGGCATTAAAGGAATGGGTCACCACATCCATCTAAAAAAGTTTAATTTTAAAAGATTGCCTATTGGACAAGATACAGTGTACTATAAAGAAGAACACTTACAATGTTTCAGAAGAAAGCGATTTGATAGTTGGAAGTAGATATTTTTTTAAAAAAATGGATGCCCCAAGAAGAAATTAGGGAGTTCCCTCTGGAAAGTTGGCTTGAAGTTTACACAATTGCCTTTGTAATCCACCTGTCAGGAAATTGGTTCTGTTACTGATTTTGTGGCTGCCCTTATCAGAGCCATGTGCCAGTCAAGGCACTTCTATCTAGGCACAGGAGTAAGTTCTTCAGAAACTCCATGTTTGAGTTCATGCCTGTTACGGTTTGCTGCCACACTACAGGAAATTGGCTACTATCTACTTCTTTTTTCAAAGTTTTTATGGCCAAACATAAATCACATCTGCAATCCCATTTCTAGGAGACTCTGATACCTGTCATACAGATCAAGAGGAAAAGAGATGAGCCTAATTTCAACAAGAAAGAAAGGTCTAATTACATTGACAGAGAGGTTCTCTGATGTTGCAACCCATTCTCAATTCTCCAGGTATCTTAACCAATCAATATACTCAATGCTCACAAACTGTCTAAAATCTCAATCTGTGGGTTCCAGTTCACTGGCTGTTGGCATTGTTCAATGATTTTATGAGACGAGATGCTTTTAGAGCAATGATTCTCAGAGGCAGGAGTGGGTCACTGCTGTTGACTTTTCTTTCCAAGGGACATGTGGCAAAGTGTGGGTACATTTTTAGTTGTCACAGCCTGAGTGAAGGAGAGCTGTTATTGGCATGTAGTGGGTAGAGGGAAAGAGTTGGAACATCTTACAAACAGGGTCACCTTCTACAGAACACTATCTAGCCCAAAGTATCCATTGTGCCCAAACTGAGAAATCCTAGTTTTAAGTAACAGAGAAGCTGTATTTCTTGAAACAAGAATTTAAAACTCTGGGCTTTTACTCATCATTTAAATATATATATTTAATATTTATTTATTATTTAACTATATATCTAATATTACATTTTACTATATATTCACTTAGGTGAATATATTATATTGGAATATATACATTCATTCAAATAAATATATATTTAAATATGTTCAAATATATATATAAGCAGTTCTTAGAGTTACTTTTCAGTCCAGCTCAGAACATTTTTTTATTGTCTTAATGTTCTATTATAAGAAATACTTGTTGCCCCATTGACTATGATCAACAGGCATTTTATTCCAGATGATCTCATGTGATAATTTAAGCACTCACTACAATATCTTCTTTCCATTGGTAATAAGAGTCTTGCTTTGTTTTGAGCCAGACCATATCAAATGAATCTTAATTTCAGAGTGGTGAAATTTTATTTCTCCTTTATTTCTTTTTTAATTATTTATTTATTTTTCTCTCATATATTACATCCCAACCTCAGTTTTCCCACCCTCTTTCCTTCCCAACCCCTCCCCCATTGACACCTCTTCAGCTTCTCTTCAGAAAAGGGCAAGCCTCCCATGGATATCAACCAGACATGGCATATCAAGTTACAGTAAGATTAGGTAGGCACCACCTCTCCTATTAAGGCTGGACAAGGCAACCCAGTATGAAGAATAGAGTCCCAAAAAAGAGTCCAGAGTCAGAAACAGCCCCTGCTCTTATTGTGAGGAGTTCCACAAGAAGACCAAGGTACACAATCATAACATATATGCAGAGGGCCTAGGTCAGTCCCATGCAGGATCCGTGATTTTCAGTTCAGTGTCTGTGAGCCCCTATGATCACAGGATAGTTGGTTCTGTGGGTTTTCTTATGGTGTCCTTGACCCCTCTGCTTCCTAAAATCCTTGCTCCGCCTACTTCTACAAGATTTCCCAAGCTCTGCCTAGTGTTGGACTGTTGGTCTCCGCATCTATTTTCATCAGTTGCTGGATGAAGCCTCTGATGATGATTATGATGATTATGCTAGGCTACTGTCTACAAGTATAGCAGAATATCATTAGGAATCATTTCATTGACTCTCCCAGGCCCCCATGGAGTTTGCTTCTATTCTGGGTTTCTGGGCTATACTGTCTCAGGGTCCTGGCCCTCCAGGTAGTGTCAGGGTGGACTCCCTCTCATGGCATGGCTCTCAAGCTGGACTAGTCATTGGTTGGCTACTCTAATTTCTGTACCACCTTTACTGCAGCACATCTTGTAGGTAGAAAAATTGTAGGTTGAAGGTTTTGTTGCTGAGTTGGTGTCTCAGTCCCTCCACTGCAAGTCTTGCCTGGTTTCAGGAGATGGCTGTTTCAGGCTCCGTATCTCCCATTGCTAAGAGTCTTTGATAGGTTCACCCTCATAGATTCCTAGGGGTTTCCTTTACATGAGATTTCTAGCTTGTCCCCAAGATGCCCCCAATTCCAGATGTCTCTCCCTGTATTCTCTTCCTCCATCCTCTCCTCATCTGATCCCTCCTGTTCCTGCCCCCACCCATCCTCAGATATCTATTTTATTTCTCCCCAAGGGAGATTCATGTGTCCCCCACCTTGAGCCCTCCTTGTTACTTAGCTTCTCTGGGTCTGTGGATTGTAACATGATTATCCTTTACTTTACAGCTAATATCCATTTATGAGTGAGTACATACCATGTTTGTCTTTCTGGGTCTGGGTTGCCTGACTCGGGATGATTTTTTTTCATAGTTCCATCCATTTGCTTGAAAACTTCATGATGTTATTTTTTTTTCACATCTGAGTAATACTCCATTGTGTAGCTGTACCACATTTTCTTTAATCCATTATTTGGTTGAGGGACATCTAGGTCGTTTCCAGTTTCTGGCTATTACAAATAAAGCTGCTGTTAAACATAGTTGAGCAAATGTCCTTGTGGTAGGATGGATCATCCTTTATGTATATACCCAGGAGTGGTATAGCTGGGTCTTGAGGTAGATGGTTTTCTGAGAAACAGTCATATTGATTTTCAAATTGTCTGTACAAGTTTGCACTCCCACCAGCAATGGAAGAGTGTTCACCTTCCTCCACATCTTTGCCAGCAGGAGTTGTCATCTGTGTTTTTTATCTTAGCCAGTCTGACAGGTGTAAGATCGAATCTCAGGGTCATTTTGATTTGTATTTCCCTGATGGCTAAGGATGTTGAACATTTCTTTAACTTTGATTCCTCTGTTGAGACCTGTGTTTAGGCCCATTTTTTAATTGGATTGTTTAGTTTGTTGATGTCTAATTTCTTGAATTCTGTATATATTTTGGAAATGAGCCCTTTATCAGACACTGGGGTGGTGAAAATCTTTTTCCATTCTGTAGGCTGCTGTTTTGTCCTATTGAAAATGTCCTTTGCTTACAGAAACTTTTCAGTTTCATGAGGTCCCATTTATTTTTTTAAAAGATTTATTTATTATGTATACAGTGTCCTGCCTGCATGTATACCTTCACATCAGAAGAGGGCACGAGATGTCCTTATAGATGGTTCAATTCCCATGTGGTTGCTGGGAATTGAACTCAGGACCTCTGGAAGAATAGTTACTGCTCTTAACCTCTGAGCCATCTCTCCAGTCTGAGGTCCCATCTATTAATCATTGATCTTAGTGCCTGCACAATTGGTGTTCTGTTCAGGAAGTTGTTTCTTATGCCAATGAGTACAAGACTATTCCCCACTTTCTCTTCTGTCAGCTTCAATGTGTCTGGTTTTATATTGAGTTCTTCGAAGCACTTGGACTTGAGTTTTGTGCAGGATGATAGATATAGATCTATTTGCATTCTTCTACATGCCATTATCTGGTTAGCCCAGCACCATTTGTTGAAGATACTTTCTTTTTTCCCATTGTATAGTTTTGGCATCTTATCAACAATTGGGTGTCCATAGGTGAGTGGATCTATGTCTGGGTCTTCTATTTGATTCTAGTGATCAATCTGTCACAAATTGTTACCTAAAACTATAATTACCCCAAACCTAGGTGCCTAGATGCCAGTGTAAGAACATAACCAAGAACAGCCAGGACAATATGGCACTACCAGAGCCCAGCTATCCTACTACAGCAATCCCTGAATATTTCAAGATGGGCAAAGCACACAAAAAATTGACCTTAAAACTAACTTTATGAAGATGATAGTGTTCCTTAAAGAGGAAATAAATAAATCTCTTAAAGAAATCCATGAAAACACAAACAATGGAAGTTAATGAATAAATCCCTTCAAGAAAGCCAAACAAACAAGCAAAGAGGTAAAGGAAATGAATAGAACTTTTATTTCTTAAATATCTTAGTGTGTTGATCATGTTTTTAGTCCCAACATGCTCTTAGCCCTGGGCATTTCTGCTTTTAAACGTCTTTGTCTCCCTTTACTCCTAACCCCACCCAGTTTAGTAATACTTATATTACTGTGTCTGAATAGAAATAGAAACTCTGGTAGAACTCTTTGCTTGTGTGTTTCCTCTTCTAGCATATGTATTCTTTCTCTGGTTGTCCAGGGAAACAAACAGGAATTTACCTGATTGTATCTTCAACTGTATATTAAGCTCTGGCAGGGAAAAGACAATAATCATTTTTCATAAGGTACATCCCCTAAATTGCTATTCATGGTATTTACTAAATATGTTTCAATAAATGTTTCTTTAAAGAGTTAGCTTATTTCATTCTGTGATTTCATTTGCTGTTTTTAAAAACTTATTTCCCATGTTACACATACTACCATTCAACATGTATTTGTCAAATAAATGAATGGATCTAATAGGTTTCATTCAAACTTTATAATCTCAATATAAGAGCAGGTTAAAAACTGATAAGATTGTTTCAGATCCTAATATTTTAGTAGCTTCGTTGGTATAGAATGTGGCTTCTGAAATTGTTGAATAATTGCTGTCATCTAGTACATATTTCTTTAATATTTTAATGGACTTAAAAATAATCTTAAACAATTTCCATAATAAGATACCAGATTCTATTTCCTATTGGTGTAGACACATAGCCTGAGAAACTTACCGAACTGACATGGTGGCACACTCTTGTAATCCCATTACTTGAGAGGCTGTGGCAGGATAATTACTGTGACATCAAGATCAGGCTGGACTACTTATCAACAAGACTGGCCCTCAAAAAAACAAAGACAAACGGATTTACAGTGTACTTGTTAGAGGGATTTTGCTTTGGTTGTATTCTTTATGGTTTTTTGTTTGTTTTTGTTTTTCTCTTAATAATACTAAGTGCTGTGGTTTATTTTTATGAAATGTCTTCCAATCAAAAAGTGGTTGGTTACTCCTATAACCTTCAGGACACTATTGTACCAGTATATAATCTTGCAGGCAGGTTGCTTTTGCAGATCTGTGTTTGTGGCTGGGTAATATTGATGATTACCTTTCTCCTCTGGTAATACACAGAGCACCTTCTAGTACCATGAACACTAGCACTAGGGATGAAGCTTCTACGTGAGCACCAGCTTGATGTCTATGTGTTCAATGATATTAGTTAATAGTGTCTTCAGCAATAGGGACTTAGCACCAGGTTGTAGAGGGCAAGTAATAGTCTGTGATATTTTAAGGGTTTTATGGGACCCCTTTGGCCCTGACTCAACAAGATGTAACCCATTCCCAGAACTAAAGTTTTACTTGGTGGGGCACTGTCTCCCCCGGTATATGATGTCTCTATTTAAACTCTTTTCATATTGTATATACTTAGGGAGGTTCTATCATAACACAGTTCAAGAGTGGAGTTGTATGAGGAGAATTCTGAGTACCTGTGAAAAGGCTCTAAAAAAACAAGCCAAGAGTCTTGTCACCTCAGTTCCTTCAATAACGTGGAACTGTTCTTGGGATTTGTTTTCTGCTCCTCCACGGGAGAGTGGATAGGAGTGGTTTACTTCAGATAATTCCGTACAACTGGCTATCGTTTTTTATGCCTCTATGGAAAAACGTGTTTTCACCATGTGTGAATGGTCCTTGTGATTGTACACTTCACTCATGTGATTACTTCTTAAACCTCAGAATACAAACTGTCTGATGCTCTGAAAAAGGTTGGCTGTTCTATTGCATGAGACTTTAGTCTGCCTCATTTTTAGGTCCTACTGCTTCCAGAGCAGTAAACAGGTTTCCATATGATTTTTTCAAAAGGCCTTTAGTGTTAGTTGCCATCTTCATATCCCCCGTTTATCCATCTCTCCCACCCCTCCTCATTTAATCTTCCCATTCCACTTTCCCCTCTATCTCTCCATAACACCATACTCTACTTGACCTTCCTTGGGAGACCCACACACACCCCAATCCCTTACTGGGTATGGAACTTCTGTGGTTATTTGGATTGCAGCACACATTTCAGAAGCCTAAAAGCTGACATCCATTCATATTGGAGAAAGCATGGCCTAATGACTGTAAGGCACTCAGCAATTAGGATGTCCATACAAGGTTTGTCTTTCAAATATATGTGGTTTATTCATACCAACATTCCATGTAATATGCTAATATAAAAGTTAAACAGACATCTCACCAAGCAGGAACAGTTGTTTGGGCAGAAATGCTGACGAAGGGTTCCTCTGGGGAATCCTCTCAGGTGAGAAAGCTTTGGAATAATTGATCCTTGTCCTCTTTGAAGTACTTCAACCTTGGCAGACTGAAAAGACAGCACTGATGAAGGTCCAGGAAGTCCTAAGAGTGGTGGCCAGCAACCAGTACTGACAAGAGGGCCTGTGGGCCCAGCAATGGTCTCAGGGACTTCAGCTGTGACCAAAGCCAGGGCCACACAGTGTCCAGAGGTCACATTTTTGTAACATTTCATTGGGCAGTAGTTTTGCACTATACAAGCTCATAGCTTGGGGCTGGTTCACTAGCACTTCAACACCACCATGGGATTAGTTCATTAGCATATCAAAGCCTGTCCTGGGCTTGGCTCCTATCTGAGCCAGGGGCTTGCTTCTGAGGCCTAGCTCTTTTCAGAGCTGCCTAGTGGCAAGCTCAGGTATCATACTATTTCACGTCATATAAAATGGCTTTTGAACTTACACAAAATGGTGTCTGAGTTACACAAAATAGTTTTTTACTTACATTCCTAAAATTGAAAATTACAATATTTGTCTTTTGGGGTCTGGGTTACCTCACTCAAGATTTTTTTTTTTTCTAGCTCCATCATTTACCTGTAAATTTCATTTAAAAAAAAATCTTCATTTTATTTTTTATGTGAATTGGTGTTTTGACTGCATGTATGTCTGTGTGAGGGTGTCAGATCCCATGGAACTGGAGTTACAGACAGTTTGTGAGCTGCCATGTGGGTGCTGGAAATTGAACCTGGGTCCTTTGGAAGAGCAGTCAGTGCTCTTAACCACAGAGCCATCTCTCTAACCCCCAATTTCATTTTTCCTAACAGCTGAATAATATTCCATTGTGTAAATGTACCACATTTTAATTATCCATCAGCTTAATGACATCTATAATGTTTTTAATCTGCCTATAATTAATAGAGCAGCAGTGAACGTGGATGAGCAAATATCTCTGCAGTAGGATGTAGAGTCATTTGGGTATATGCCCAAGAGTGGTAGAGCTGGATCTTGATGTAGATGGATTTTTGGCTTCTTGAGGAACCTCCACCCTGATTTTCATAATAGCTGCACCAGTTTTTACTCCCACCAGTAATGACTAAGTGTTTCCTTTTCCCCACATCCTTAACAGCATATGCTGTCATTTGTTTTATTCATCTTGGCCATTCTGAGGGGTAGGATGAAATCTCCAAGTAGTTTTAATTTACACAAGAGTTAATACAATTAAATGGATACATTTTCACTGTGAGATTAATACTTTTCAAAACAGCAATTCATTCAAGTCTAATGTAACTTTTACATTTAATGGTCATGCAAAAACATAGCTCTCACCTCAGAGAGGACAAGAGATAGTTTATTCTGGGACTTAAATATGAGTAACTATGGCCGGGTACATTGTTGGTTTTAAATGCTGTGCTTTTACCATTCGAGAAAGGTCAGAGGCATGAGACAACTAAACCCAGTATCAGAGCTTTATTAGGTGGAAGGGGAGGACAGAAAAGAGTAACCAGGCCTGGGAAGAGGCACATGCAGGGGGTGGGGGAGAGCAGAAAGAGAGGGGAGGAGTCTGTGTCCGGCTTTTTAAGGATTCCCCTGCACATGCACAGTTGGGCTTATGGAGCTAAGCCACATATGTGATGATTGCATGACCACGCTGCTGTGTGCATTTGTACAATCATGCAGCACACTGATGACATAAGATGTAAGACCCCTTGCTTAGCTATTGAACTGCACATGTGCAGTCATGTAGTTGGAGTGGCAGAATCCTAACATACATAGATTTAGGTCTCTCCAAAGATCATGTTCCAATGAGGTGGTGACTTCATGAACTTTTTTTAGTAACAGAAGAAAGCCATAAACCAAAACAGTTTCCCAATACTTTGCTGGGTGTATCAGGCATGGCAAGATGGAGAGAACTCTGCTGTATGCCTTGGATGCTGTCTAACATCATTCTTAGCCCCTTGATTGGTGGAAAACTGCATTCAGTTAGCCCATTCCAAAATGAACTTTATGTGTTAGTCACATATTGTTAGATCTGACATGGAGTTAGGCAAGGAATGGCTATTTAATAGGGGTAGAGGAGCCCCCAAACAGCTTGACCACACAGCTGCCATGACAGGCTTAGGGGCCCAGACACAGCTTCTGTGACAGGCTTACTGGCAGGCAACACCCAGATCCAGGAAAAGCCATAAGCTGACACCACCCAGGGATTCACCCAGGGATGGGGAAGTACCTGACATCCTAAACATTGCAACCATTAGATAAGGTGGCCAGATGTCCCTGAGTCTAGCACACACCTGTTTTTGTTTTACACCTACCCCTAGACAATTGTCAGCAAATCAGGATCCTGAACCCTGGAAATCTCTTCACCCCAACCACTGCTATGATAAAAACTCTTCCCAGCCTGGGCTCAGGGCTCTCTGCTCTCACTGCTGTGTCAGACAGACAGAGGGACCAAGCTCAGAGCTTGAAATAAAGGCTCTTTGCTTTTACATGTGGGATTTGGTCTGGTGGTGGCCTTTTGGGGGTCCCAGCAATCTGGGCATAAGAGTAGGCCAAACATAGAGCAGGAGAGTTTGTAATTAAGCTCTGGAATTATAACTTCCCAATCTCGCCACATCACTGCAGTTTTAATCAATTATCTGAAGCAGTCACAGCTTCTTTCTAGGAATTTTTGTTTAGAGTTACTCTATTGGCTAGGAATTACATTTTGAACATATATGTGTGTGGGCACATCTCTTTTATTAAATATTATAACGTCCCTTGTAGATTGGAAGGCTTATGCATAGGATCTGATGTAGATGAGGCTGAGTACTAAGCAGGACAGTTTGTCTTCAGGAGAGAGTGTGGGGTGTTTACTCACCAACCCCACAGCTCCCCAGAGTTTTCTTGAGTGCGAGCAGCAGGAAATATTAGAAGGATTTATATTTTGGAGATGAACAGAAAATAAAGGATAGCCTCGAGAGGGCCTGGAACCTTTCCCAACCAGCCCTGACTGTCTCTGCCCCAGCATATTTATAGAGATGCCAAGGGGTGGGGGGAGCAAAAGACCCCCTTCCCCCTAGCACAGCCAAGTGCAGACCATCTCAGACACCTGCACCCAGGCCCGTGGTCCAATCATCCTCTCTATGCGGACCTGCTGGGTAAAGCCACGAGGAACCTGGAAACAGGCTCCCACAAGAGAGGAACAGCTGGTAACCACATTAAGAAACAAACTCTCAGGCCATATCAAAAGAATTAGTTATGATTAGGATCTTAGGAAACAATGGCAAACAAGCAAAACCAAAACTCCTTTGTATCTGACCTAACATTCTCACTCACATACCTTTGACAGAGACCACTTCTGTGCATTCCTATGTAAGGAAAAGCAGTTCACTGAGACAGTAGGCGGTGGTGGTGTGGTGGGGTGTGGATATCAGTTACGGTTTTTAGAAGTCCTTTAAGATAGCAAACGTCCTTTATGAAAAACTTAAAAAACATAAACCAGAATCAGTAATTGGTCCTACATGATTGGAAGGAGATGGGGGGCGGTTTCAGGGAGGCCTAGTCTTCCGCAGGCCATGGGCGAAGCTTGGGGGTTCTGGGTGAACTCTGCGATCTTTCTTGAAGTTACTCGGCTCCAGTCGGCTTCACTCGGCTGCTTTCGGCGCTCGCCCGGGAGGGAGCGCGCCTGCGCACGCGCTCTCCGCGTCTGCCGCTAGCAACGGGACTCAGCTCGCGGTTTTCACTTCCTTCTTGTCAGAGCTGTATCCGGGTCGTTGCTCTCCCCATTGTCTCAGACAGTCGGCCTCCGGCTGTGGGGATCCCGGGTCCTTTGTGGCTTCTGGTGCAGGATAATAAAGTTTTCTGTTCTTTTTATTCCTGGTTTTTACCGGGGCGGGTGCCCTCGCGGGGCGGCCGGCTCGGGCCTGGCGCCTCTGGCCGGGGAGCGCGGGGAAGGGGCACGGGGCTGGGGGTGGGGAGGGACGCTGGCCCGGCCCCGGGGTCGCCCCTGCGCGGTCGGCGTCCATAGCTGCGCGGACTCGGCTCCGCGGCCCTCTGCGCGTCCCTGCCGCCTCGCCTCCCGCAGCCTCTCCCTAGGTCTCCTCCAAACGACCGCCTCACGGATTCCTTAGTAAGTGAGGCCTCAGCCCCCCTCGACCCTTCCAGAAGCCGGGACCTGCGGAGAGGGAGGGCCGGGTGGGTGCTGCCTGACCCCGGGAGGAGCTGCTGCTCAGTGGCCCCTGAGTGAGCCCTGGCTTCTGGGGTGCCGTGGTGTCTGAATGAGGGATTGCCGGGTAGTCGTAGAGGCGTGTTCCTCCAGGATGTGGTGGGCGGGGGTCGGCCAGGGGTTTGGCTGGCTTGACTTGGTCTTGGCCTCCCCACAGGGGCCACCTGGCCTTCCGCAGCCAGCGTCCCCAAACCCAACTTCTCCCCAAGCACTGTGTTGAGAACTCGGAGTCCTTGCACGAAGTCGATGTGTCGTCTTAAGCACCCCAGCTCTTCCTTTGGTGAGACTGTAAAATGACTGGAATATTTTCTCTCAACAGTGGATCGCAGCTCCAAGAGGAGGCAGGTGAAGCCTTTGGCAGCTTCTCTCCTGGAAGCTCTTGATTATGATAGTTCAGATGACAGTGATTTTAAAGTTGGAGATGCTTCAGGTAAACGTTTCCTTTCTCTTTCCCCTTCCCAGCTTTCTGCGCTTCCGTGTATTTTTAACTTCTTTATTTTTTGAACCAGTTTTGATTAAAATGTTCATTTACAGTAAAAGCACACATATCATTTATTTTGTTCATTTGATTTCCCACGTTTCCCTAAGATCTGTTCACTGGATCCTATTATGGCTTCTGCTGCCGTCCATATTTACTCAAATGATTATTAACTGGTATAGAAGAACCATTTTCCAAGATGCAAAAACATTTTCCCCAGTTTAAACTCTATCATACATTTATGCTTATATATTTTAGTGAAGAATTGAGGTACCCCAGATATAGAAGAGTATATTAAGAAGAATATGGACCATAAATAGCCTTGAACAGGGTTATTCCCTTTTCAGCTCACATGGCACTCTTAGAGGAGTTATACTTTTTTTGTGTATTAGCTCTCATACAGAATAAAGTTAGTCCAAGCAAACTTGATGCTTTAAAACACAGGTGCAATACCTTGCGTAAAGCACACGAGCTTGCTTATTCTAGTTAGTGATTTAAAAAGATGATGAAAGTTGTATGTTCACGTAGTGTAAAAGCAGAAACAGAACATTATGGTTTTCTTTTATGCATTTTCTTTTGTGTATTTAATGTGTACTTAATATATTGAGTTTTAGTTAAAGAAATCTGAGAAACAAAATTATATCTGAAAAACACCAGTAAACACATGAGCATTAAAAGTTTTTGTTATCTCTACTCCTTTGATAAACATTTAGATTAAAATGAGAACTAAAAGCCTTTCTAATTGCATCCCTTCCACGGGTTCTTTCTCTTGAAGTTCTTTCTCTTTGCGATCTTGGGATCACACTCAGGGCCTCCCATATGCTCTCCTGCTGGACCATAGTTCCATCCCTTCTAACATGTTTTTAGTATCCCATCGTGCACTTTGGGACTTTGAAGATCTCGCTCTCTTCTTCTGACTCTCCTTTGCTTCTAAAGGTAGTGAGAAGGGATGAAATTAGTTTTTGTTGTGTTACTCTTAATGGCATCAGCAAACAATTTGCATTATGATATAATACAGAATCTCATTTAACCTTTATAATAGCTGTAGCAGGAATCTTAAAAGGTCTTATTAATAAAATCAAACCTGAAGCCAGTTATTGGGGGTGAATGCTGGAAGATCAGAGAAGCAGAACAAGTCACAGCTACCTACCTTGCCAGTTCCTCAGCTGATCCTGTTTCCTCAGACTGGAAACCTCTTGAGTCCTCATCCAGAATGAATCTCAGCTGAACTGTTGCTCAAAAGCCTAAAAGCTTAACCAGCCAAATGCTTTTAGTTTCTGGTCCTCCACGCCTTATATATCTTTCTGCCATCACTCCCTGGGATTAAAGGCGTGATTCACCATGCTTGGCTGTATCCTTGAACACACAGAGATCCAGAGGGATTTCTGCCTCTGGAATGCTAGGATTAAAGGTGTGTGCTACCACTGCCTATCTTCTATGTTTAACATTGTTGCTGTTCTCTTTTCTCACTCCAGATAAGTTTATTAGTGTGCACAATATTTTGGGGAACACAATACCACCACATTTCCCCCTTTTTTTGTGTAACATTAAAAAAAGCTTATAACTAATACAAGAAAAATTATATCTATAAGTATATACAATATACACAATCAAGATTACATTAATGATGTCTAGTCCATTAACATTTGAAAAATTTAGACGAATAACTCCATTAATATATAAAACAATGTCCAGTCCAGTAACATTTGATAAACTCAGACAAAAAAATGTTCATTATTTATCCTTTGTAAAACAAGTACCTTTTTAAAAGTAGATTCAAAATTGACCTTTTTATCTTATCATGTGATCGGGATTAAAGATATGTGCTACCACTGCCTATCTTCTATGTTTAATATTGTGGCTGTTCTCTTCTCTGACCCCAGATAAGTTAATTAGCATGCACAATATTTTGGGGTACACAATACCACCACAAATAGCTCATTACGGAGATATAGTCACGGGTACTGAGTTTAGAGGACTGCTCATGAAGTTACTCAGGAACTGATGGATCCAATAGGTCTGACTGTAAAATTTAATCTTTTCACTGTTTAGAAACTAAGAGTGGGTTGATGTAATCTCAAGTCAGAATGGCTGGGTTATTGTGGTAACTGATAAGTTGACTCTAGAGGTCAACACTGGGCAAGCTGATCTTGATGAACTGTTTCTAACCTTCACGTTGCAGCTCTTTGTCTCCTATTTAGTTGATTCACTGGTGTTGGTACTTGAGGAAGGAGAGAAAGGAAAGGGAAAGGAGGTAAAATTAAAATGTCTTCTCCTTAGAGAAGACTAACAGGAATAGTCTCTGCTAGAAGGTAGTATTGGTGTGTTAGTGACAGTCTAAACTGACACATCATTGGTACCACTTAGAAGGTAGGAATTGATGAAACAGACTCCAAAACTTACTTTCTTGAAATGTTCAAAAGTGATTATGTTTCAATAAATTCTGACTTGATAGATTCATTTTCTCATTTATTGAGGTGGAGAGTCATTCACAGGCATTCTCTTTGCAAGGGATGGAATAATCCAGATTAATTTATAAATGCCTTTAAAAACAATGTATGGTATCAAGTCAAGATTTCTGACCTTAGTAAATACTAATTTATTGTTGAAGGAACATTATATTTGGTTAATGTATGTCCCCTAAAAGCACTCAAATTTCATACAGTCTGTTGTTTCTTGTCATATAATCTCAAGTTTTTACTGCCCTGGCTCCTGGCAAGTTTAAATATGTGATCTGAGATTTCAGGTCACAAATTTATTCCCGTAGTTTTGGGAATGTTATTGTGAAAAAGAGCTAGTGGAAAATGATTTTATTTAAAATAATAGTCAGTAGCAATTGAGTCTTGCTCATTTTTGACTCAGATGTGGTGGTGCTCTTCACAGCTGAGAGATTGACTTACTCTAGATCACCATGACTACTTCTCATTTTTGATTGAGGACAATGAAATAAATAACTGTGCCTAAGACAGGGGACAGTTAAAATTATGATAATAACCACCAGAAGAACCATATGTAGAAATGTTAGATGGAATGACATACAGGTGACTGATTTTATAGTTCTAAACCAGCCCAATACTGCACATTTCATGGTTTAGCTTAAGTGTTTTATTTGGTTTGTGCCTAGGATTAGGGTTAATTTTCAGTTATTTGAATTGAATGCTTTTGAAGATGTGGGCATTTCTTAATTTTATTAACAATATAAACTAATATTGTCCTGGTCTCTCCCACTGTCTTTGCTATGCAAAGTAAAGTGCTTAAATTTAAATCTTGATGGGTTATTTAGTTAGTACAATGAGGCCATTTTGCCTGGAAGTAATCCAACTAGAATTGTCAGGTTGAGACTTCAGTAGTAGTTGCTTTTGATAGTGCTTTTTTCCAAGTTGTATTCATTAGCATTTCATTTAACACTTTCCCAAATATAGGGAAGTCACAGATAAATAGTTAGATTGCACTTATTAAATGATGGGTAATACAGGGAGTAGTTGATTATGTATATGGTTCAAGTCTTCTGGAGGAGAAAGGATTATTTTCGACTAGCATGGTATAGATGAGTTTCATTGAAAAGCTAGGGAAGGAGCTGTGAACTAAGAATAGTTAGAAAAACAATCTTGGTGAGAGAAACAATAAATGTTAAAGGTATGGAGACATGGAAATATTATTTCTGTTTGGGGTTAGGACCAAGTTAAAAGACTAGTAAAAGAAACATGCCTAGAAAACAATGAGAATATTGAGATCTTGTTTTAGATGTGGGTTTCTCAGAAAGCCTTGGCACTGTTGGCATTTTGTGTTGACTAATTCTTGGTTGTGCTGGTACAGGCTTGTCCTGTGGAGTATAGTGTGAATGTTCAGAGCACCTTTGTTTTGTATTGTACTTGATCCCCGTGTCTTCCCTACCTCTTGCACCTGCCCTGCAACTGCCAGTGTTTCCAGGAACTAGTTCTCCATCCTAGAGAAGCTCTGCTGTAGATTTACCCAGAAAATGCAAGATGGCACAGCTGTAATAAGAGCCAGTGGAGAAT